ACCAGTTCTGGAGGGGGGGTGGCTGACACGAACCCTCCATGTAGGGTCACAGGGATCCTTGGATGAGGGCAGGCGGTTCCGTATTTTTTCCACTTCCAGCAATACTGAAAAGGACACCTGAAGCACCTGAAGGATCCATCTGCAGCCAGGGTTTCAGTATGGCAACGGTTTTACTTTCTAAGCACATGCAATGGCAAAAAAATCCTTAAGGCGGCAAAAACGTAGTAGACAGCTTCACCCACATGACATGTGGCCGTTGTAGCACTGAACACTTTCTAGGCAAAAAAAAGCTTTTTTTTTCTTATTAAAAAAATACTATTGCTTACCTTTAAATCCCAGATCCACTCATTCTAAACCCACGCTTTCTCTCCAGGCCAGACCAACTAGGTGTGGAGATGGCGGTGCAACTCTGTGACCTGCATTTTGCAGACACTCAGTGACGATAATAAAGCTCCCGTCTAGCCCTAAAGCCCGTGAATGTTACACATTTTAGCCCAAGAAATAAAAATGACTGCTCTTCCAAACAGAGCAACAGGCATCCCCTTGGGACCTTTCATCAAAACGGAGTTTGTCAGGACAGCACCCGGTACTCAGGGGCCATCCAAAAGCCTGGCTCTGCCACGACTTGGGAGAAAACCACAACCCTCCTGCTTCAGCACCACTTGCTCCCTCCGGGAGCAAAATCCGTGGGGTTTTGTGAGCCATCTGCTCTTTGCAGGTTCCTCTCTCAGCTAAAGGTTGACCAAATTCTTAGGTTTTGCTCAAAGCCTTTCCACTTGCACATTTTTTGCACAACAAACCCGTATTTCACAAGCTGTCCTTGCTCTTGCAGTGATTGAGAAGCATATTGTCCCTGTGAGAAACGCCGCAAAACTATCAAATGCCTTTAACCAAACTGTATCAGAGCTTCAATCACACTGGGTTGTTTAAAACAGATTTCGAGCGGTCACCTCTTTTTTTGTACAGTACGCACTTTATTGCAGAGAAGACTGGATGCATTCTTCAAACCAATCCAGGAGCTGCACAGTTTCCAGACATTTCTGTGAAGTGTTGCCCACAGTAACTCGAGCACAACGGAGTCCCTCAGACAAACAGCAAGAGGGAACCCAATCCTGTCATCTGCAACCGCTTGAGAGAGTCAGAAAACCTTGCTAAGAGCCATGTAAAACAGGTGGCTCTGCTCCTGCGATCACCTCTGCCAGCACAACAGAGGTTAACCGTGTCACTCCTGATTTACACCAGTGTAACCGAGACCAGGAGCTGGGCCGGCATCACGAAAGCAGCCAGTGAAGGTTTTATGTCGGTGTGATACACACGTGGTGGCAGATTTGTGACGTTTCCTGAAGGGCTTTTATGTGGGATCACATCGGAGACAGTGTGTCCCGTTCCAGGTATTACAGTATCTTTGGGCTGATGCACGACTGTGCTGCCCAGTCCCTCTCCACATGGGAAAGAAATCTTGGCGTGAAAACACATCAAGTCATAACAGGCACTAACTACCACAATAAACTAGAGCAGAGTCTTTGTCTGGCCTGGATGCTGCTGTGTTTGGAAGCACCCCAGCAGGTCCCAGCCAGCCCCAGGTAGGCTGAGGGTGAGCCACAGCCCCGTAGTGGGATCCCAAGAACATCAGACTGTAGCTAGAAATGTTCTTCAGTGTATCAGTTAACCAAGATAATGCATTTTCCTAGTGAGACCGTCCACAATAATTGCTTTTGAGAGACACTGGCTGCATCAGCAATCTGAATGCTATAGCATTAGATAAAAATCCTCCAACTTTCCTTCCGTAAAATGTGTTTCTTTACCAATTACATACCCCAAAAGTGAAGCCATTGGAGTGTGATATTAAATACGGTTCAAATTCTTAATGCAAGCCCAGAGCTTGTCCAAGGACACTAAGACTGAATGGGCTTGCACAAGACACATTAGCACAGAAAAGTGTTAAAACTACCGGACTCTCAGATCTCGTTCTCACCTCCTAGACCTTTTCAAACCCTCCCTGACATCAACAGTAATGGCATCTTTTACCAGGCGAAGATCTGACACACGGGGCTCAAACTCTAACGATGTAAAACCACGTGGGTGTCAGAAATTGCCCGCGATGGCTGCACAGCAGAACGGTTCTGAGCGTGTTCGAGGTGTACGGCGCAGAATAGCTGCTCATCTGGAAGCTGTTTAAATGCCTATGTGCAGTGTGCTGAAAGACAGTTTTCTTACTCCTTTAGCATTGTGCCCGTCGTATGAAAACTAAAAATCTACTGGGGTCAATGGGGAACCTTGGGAAAAGTAGCTGACTGAAAAAAGCCTCGGAAACTGAAGGTTTCTGTGTAGCATCAGAGCAGGGGTGGCACAGATTGAGACAAGAAGGGTTCACCCAGCCCACCGTGTGCCTCAAAGCTTAATTTGGGAAGGGTGCATGGGGAGCAGGGGGAATAAATCATTCATCTGTCGCTTCCTGACGGTTTCGCCAAGGCTGCCAGTGGTGGCGGTTCATAAATGTGCGCATGTGACGTGCTAACTGCAAACCGACCCGTGAGAAGGGAGCCCGTGACTCACGGAGACTTTGGAAGGCCATCCCAACGCGCTGTGCTTCTCACACAGGCTAAATATTAATCTGTGATGAGTGAGCGAGCCTGAATGCTTTAAGCTCCCACATCTATTCACTCTCAGAAGAAAAAAATAAAGGAAATTATCCCATGAAGTGGTCGCTAGGCACAAATGATTCTTGATCCCCACAGGTTTCCCCCTCGTTGTTACTAAAATACCTGATGGGTCTCGAGGAAAACACATAATTCATATTTAACTCAATCTGTTTCCCACAGCCCTCCCATGACTTTCACCGAGCAGGTCGCCTTTGTCTTCCTTGTCTCGGAGCGACTTCTTGCACGTGAACATGACGAGCAGCAGCATCGGCAAATGCCACAGGCTGCAGAAGAAGAGCTTCCTGGAGCTGCTGCGGTCTGCGTCCTTGTAGAACCGAAAGCCGAGGTAGGAGATGTAGAGGTTGATGGGGAGCGAGATGATGGGGAAAGTCCACGTGGTGACGTCGAGAACAGGAGCCACCACGGAGAGTCCGATTAAGGCCAAGCAGTGACGCAGAGCCACTCGCCTGCACAGCCCCGGGTGGGTGACGGACATCATGCAGTATCCTCCTCGCGAGTAATCTTCCCGCAGGCCCCAGCTCAGGGCGTTGAAGTGAGGGAACTGCCAGGAATAGAGGATTCCTCCTAAGAGCAAGGCGCCTGCAGCAGGACAGAGAGAAGGAAACGGGCGTTAGAGGGGGCACCGCGAGGACCTCAGCACATTCGGGCTGTATTTGCAGAAGAGCAGCGCTGAGAACCACGGAGACATTCAAAACCCGCTGGGACATGTTCCTGTGTGACCTGCTCGAGGTGATCCTGCTCTGGCAGGGGGGTTGGACTAGATGATCTCTAGAGGTCCCTTCCAAGCCCTGACAGTCCGTGATTCTGTAACCTGCTGCATCACTGCGTGCAGGAGCGAGGCACACCCTGCAAGACACAGGCTGGGTTTTTTTGGAGCATTTAATTTGAAAAGAGTTTCAACAAGTCACTTCCTCCCAGCCAGCCATTGCTAATTCGTTTCTGCACCAATTCAGTCTCTACCTGAGGGAAGATTGATGGAAATTAAGCAAAGTCAGGCAAGACACTGTTTTTACCGGGAGCCTCCTGGGTTCCCGAGTTGGTGCATCCAGAGAAGAAAAAAGCTGGTGGGCAGTGTCACGTGGACCAGAAGCAGGGAGCTCTGTGCAATGACAATTGGTGGTGTCCCTGCCCATGACAGGGAGGTTGGACTAGATGATCTCTAAGGTCCCTGCCAGCCTCGGCCATTCTATGATTCTATGACAGCAGAAAAACCAGGAAAACATCAGCACCCTGGTAGCCTGGAGCACGGCTGAGCTTTCTGTGTGCCCACTGCATGAACTGCTCGATCACAGCCTGATCACAGACCTCAGGCAGGCGGCAGAAGCTGCTAATGAGGTGACAGAAGATGGGAGAACTTCTTACTCCTTCAAATCAATTGTAGGAACTTCTCCGTGGTTTGATCAAGTAGTTCTATTCACACCAATTAGCTACTTTTCAGGGAAGCACCACATTTTTTTTACAGCTCTCCTCAGGACATTGTACAGGGCTTATCGAGGCAGAAGCAGCGTATATGCTGATTTCAGCAAGCTTCAAGGAGGCCCTCAGACTAAACTCCCTCTGCTAATTCTGTCTGAAGACACATAAAATCCCCCAAGGCTGTTGCACATTATGAGTATTCCTGGATTTTCCTTTTGTTTCCCCAGCTCCCAAACACTCCGCTCCGGCATTAACACTTTCTTTGCATCTCCCTGCCTCCATTTTTCTACTTCTCAGTTGGAGCCAGGAGTCTATCATTTTCTTAATGACTTGGTAGAAACCGAAACCGCGACACTTATCTGCACACAGGTTAACATATTTAAATTCCTCCCCAAACACTCAGTTCTCCCCCAGCAACTGCCTGGGCTCTAACAAAGAACAAGTCACCATCTCCTCTGACCTGCTTCGTGGTTCACACCTTCTCTCCATCTCTTCTGGCTCTATGTTCCTTGGGGCTGTGCATGTCTAGCTCTTGTCTTAAAGAACACACTTTACACTGGTGTCATGCAAATAATAATAACAACGATGATCATCTAAGTTTGCAAAACAGTCTTTTTTTTCACCCTACCTTAACAACAAGTGAAGGAGAACTCACAATATGGGTTTCACTTGTTTATAAGATCCAGCAGTGGTATAAAAGACATGTCTCATTTTAAAATGAGGAACAAATGCTCCATTAGGTGAGCACATGCCTCTGGAAGTTGATTACATGAAGCATGGAGATAGATGCTCAACCATTGAGCACGCAGCTTCCAGCACAACACTGGTGGCTTCCTGGACCGTGGCCCAAAACGTTCTCAAATCCTGCCGCTTCATCCTTCTAAAGTTGACTTTCAGGGTGTGGATGCTTAGCACCTTCTTGAAATCGGAAAATTTACAGATGGTTGAAAACGGTGCACCCCAAAATCACCGTTCATTGCAGAGAATTGTGGCAACAGAAGTAATTGTGGCCCAAACACAACAGGATTTGACTCAGTTCTGCTGAAACCTGAGCGAGTAGCTCTACCGAAATAAACTGAAATCAAACTCAGTCAAGGAGCAGTATTCCCTAGACCAGGAGAAACAACGGGGGAAACATTCTTGTCATCTGTCATTCTTTAGCTTTTTCCCATTCTTGGAAAACATATTACTGGAGGCAAGATCCCTGTTGCGATAAACCTAAGATAGGAATATTTTTCAAGTTTCACATCTGAAGCGCTTTAAGAGACGTTAGTCTGTCATTTTTCAAAACTTAGGGAAAGGCAACCCACAATTATCCATCAGCTGAGGAAACCCAAGTAGCCGGGATTCGGAGGCAGAGGCTGTCCCTGCTTCCCACGGCTTTTCGCCCCGCGTGTGCCGCGTCCCTGCGCTTGGGCTGCGACGCGGGCTCCGCTTAATTCAGTTGTTCAAACGTTTTGCGCAGCCAAGCTCAAAACACACCCTAAACCTCAAACACACAAAACCCTTTAACAGTTCTCTAACTACAACACCATTAAAAAAAAAAAAAGAAAAAAGTCATTTGGAGAAACTTTGAAACACAAACAGACCGACTAAAGTACTTGGGGCTGGATTCCCATTTACAAAGCTCTGGTTTTTACATGCAAGCCTTTGGAATTTAATTACTTTGATTACATTACAGCCATTGAGATAATTGATATTTTACAGAGAGAGGCTGAACAGTAAAACAATTTAATAGCCCATTATGAGGATTTTAACCGACTCGATCTTTCTGGCCGTTTCCCATGTGCCTGGGCCATCCTGCGACTCCCTCGGCCCAGGCAGGGATTGTCGGCTTGTCAGAGATTTTTAAGCGTCGCCTAAGACTGACGACTGGCAAAGCGGTACGGTACAATTGAGCATCAAATGAGCCCACAGTAGGAATCCTGTCAAGCCCAAAGCACACACTGCAATACTCATTAATTACTAGACGAATGCTAACTATGTCATAATTAGGTCAGCGGTGTTTTTAAGCAATGCTACGGCGAAACTAACCTGGTTCCAAATAGCACCGAGTCGCCTCCGCTGCTTCTGCGCCTTTCCCAGCAGTTTGGGAACTCGGTTTAATCGACACAAACCTCCTTTTCCTCTGCGGAGGTTACAATTAAGCGACGCCCAGACGAGGCTGACCCCAGCCGAAGGCCGTGGAGCTGGCGGGGAGCTTGCACAAGCGGCGTCGGCCATCGGAGTGGGGCACCCAGGGCCACCGGCGCCCTCGGGCTCCGCCCCGGCCCACCCC